GTTTGTCATCTTGGCTTATTTATTTCTTTTGTCATGACAAGGGGATTTATTCCAAGCACACAGATGGGTGGCAACATGAGCTAACAGGTCGTATTAAAGTTTAAAACAAACACATTCCTACTTCTTGCCAAATAACCAAATGGAAGCAAAGATTAATATACTTCACATCTTCACAAGGAAATCAGGAGGAAAACATTTTAAAGCATGTCCAGAGTAAGGCATACAAACCTTTACTTTTTCTGGCCGAACCATTCCACCATGAAGTGGGGGGCAACTGAAATAACGCGTTCCCTTCACCCTATCACATGAAGAAGGGGAATAACGTCAACCAAATAATATGCAGAAGACAGGAATGCAAGATTAATTCCCAAAAGCAGTTTAAATTTTATAACTGAGAAATATGTTGCGAACACAAAAAGGAAAATTGACAATATTTATTATTGGCATACAAGAATCAAAAAGACGTCTCATGATTTAGGAGCTCACTTACATGCCATCATGCTTTCCCAAGGGTTCATCGTATTGAACTCCAATCCAGAAACCAGGACCTAGAGGTTCCGCCCGACCGACAAATTTAACAACACCTCTTTTAGCCCCTGGTTCAACTTCACATCTATCTCCTACCTTCAACATATAAATGAAGACATCTAACGCAATCATGATTATTGCTCCGCAAGAAATAAGACAAGATAAATTGAAACTTAACACATGTAATTTGAAGAAGATCATGGAAAGCAAGAATTATCTCAACTCCTAGACAAAATACAAGAAAGCAAGAAAGAAAATGGTATTAAAAAGTTCATTTATTCATATTAAACTACAGTTCAAGTTCCATATAGAATGCTGAAGAAAATGCCAACTGCATCTAAAAAATGATTCGCCTAGATGCTAATGATTCAAACCGACAAGGTTTGAAGGACAATCTGTTAGAATATGAGTATGATTGTGATTGCTAGAAACTGGCTATAGTGTTACAAATTGGTATAGAAAGATCTTGTTGAAGAGTTTAAAGTTGTCCTGATCAGTTTGGGATTGAAACTTTAATTAAATTTTGATACTCAGCACTCATAGTTGGATGGGAATTGTGTGTCAGTTTCCTACCCTGATTTTAATAGGGGAATCACAAGGATTGTTTCAATATAAATAGTGGCCACTGCTCTCACAATATATGGTGCTCATTATTGGACTTAGACCTATTGTAAGTCGAGCATATTGTTTCTGCAAAAGAGAAGAAGCTTACTATTGAAGTCAACTATGACTTCATATTCTTCGGTTGTCTAAGGGTCAGATTATTCTTACACACTCACCATTTAATGGCACAATACTCTGAATAGGTCCACTTAAATTCTACAAACTTTAACTCGCGCTATCTTAAATTTCATAGATTATATGGCCACCAGAAAAATATACATATAACTCAAGTATTTAAAGAAAGAAAGAGATTTTACTGAGTGGTCTATGAATCAAGTGTAGATGCAGCTCATTAAAGTACAGTGTGATTCCACAAGATCAAGTAGCGATACGAATATTATAAATAGTGACTAATTTACTTGATCTGCAATCAGAATCTATTGGTTTCTTAAGCTTCTTCTTTTCCATCTTCTATTCAGCATATCTAAGTTCATTACTAACCGACGCCAGTTCATACTTATAAAATGTTATAGATTAATTTTAAGGGACTGAAAATGCTTGTATCACCAATAACTAAAAAGGGAAAAGTACGGACCTTAATATTCACACAGAGATCTTCCATGTAGTTCTCTGGTATCTACAAAGAGAAACTTCTGTCAACAAACTTATCAACACATCCATTCACTTCCACATGCAATGCTGACTAACAACTAAGCAACTCAATTTGATTCATGATTAGCAAACACCAGTAGAAGCAACGGGGTGTAATTTGATTACAGAAGGAACAAATAACATATATAGGAAACGCTTACTTTGTTCTCAACTGCTGATGGGTTCTGCGATACCAATTTGTCCTTAAATTTTCTGAAAGTACCTGATCACAAAACCCCGGAAACACGAACCCTCAGACAAAACAATAAGAATATGCATTGAACTAAATAAAAACACACATTTTACAGACATTATTCACATAAAATTACAAATATATTGGGAAACTCTCACCATCCCTCTTCTCATAAGCTTCTTGTGAAATGGTGTACTTCTCCACCAACGATGTGTCCTCCAGCCACCCCCCGGAGGTCACCGACGAAGGATCCAAGTCTACAACATGTAGCCGGAATCTTTCGATTTCGAAAACACATAAAACAAACAAAAAATCACAATTAACAAACATTGGTCTCACTAACAAAACACTGCAACTGTGAACCAGTAGTTTCTAACAAACATTGGTATCACTTTGTCAGATTGAGTAGCTGGCCAACCTAGAGAGATCGCCAACCAAAAGAATCACCAAATCATATTCTACATTGTTGGAGTTCGAATGAAAATTAAAAGTGCTATTGTCCCACATTGATGAGAGCAACTCATCAACATCTCTTTCATACGCCTATGTCGATATGACTTAGTAATTTAGAGTAAAGGAATCACCATGGACGGATCCATCGTCCATGTGGCTTAGAAACGGGATGATTAATTAATCAAAAGATAAGGCGCGCTCTCATTATATTTTCGGAGAAAAATACATGTGCTAGGAACTTGAATTCGATAAGAGTAATTCCGGTGGACATCGACAAAGTAGAGGCGAAATTCTGTCTATAAGGGCATTGTAACACGCTCTGCAAGCCCCTATCAATTCATACAGTCAGTTTTCAATTCTTTCTCCTTTTTGTATACCCTCGATTCAGTTTCGGTTTAATATACACCAAATTGATCTTTGTATTACAATTTTACATCAACTTGTCTGTTCATATTCTTATACTTCTCTAACATACATTCATTGCGGCATTTTATCAAACACGATGTAGGCAACAATCTTACTAATCCAGAATGCAACCAAATAAAAAATCACAATTAACAAATAACATGCGAGAGAGAGGGGGAGAGGGAGAGCTGACCCGTCGTGAGGGGAATAGAAGCCGAGGGGTTTGGAGTTGTCGGTGAGAGTGGAGACTAGGGTGTTGGCGTCGTCGTAGAGGTGGAGGGACATGGAATCGACGGAGGTGCCGCATTTGCGCCAGAGCTTGTCCTTGACGGACTCGACGGAGCTCTGGAGGGAGAAGCGGATGTCGGCGGAGAAGGTCTTCAGATTGGAATGTGTAACGCGGAGCAGTACGGATTCGTCTCCTTCGATCTTCTGCAACTGAGACGCCATTTTTGTTTACTGTGAGAAGCTCTAGACTTTACTAGGGACGCACAAAAGCTCTAGACTTGTAGGAAGCACAAAAGCTCTAGACTTTACAAGGGAAGCACTTTGCTTTTATATGAAAATGTACGAAGTTGTTTGAAAATGTTTTTAAAATGACTAAAAACGTTTTTGGTGAAAATATTTACGTAACTGGTCTAGTAAAAATGTAAGTGAATTATGAAAAAGTACTTGAAGTGCCTAAAAGAACACCACCGGCAGTTTGCTCAGGGTTCCAAACTCAACGGTGACAACTAAACACAAAGGTTGCGCTCATTACTAGACTTAACTCACACCTTACGGCACGAGTTGACGACAACTATGCATCACTTGTGCCCGTGTTCCCGAAGGCATATGGATTAAGTTGCAGTTTGAAAGGTTAACCTATTCGGGAATCTCCAGATCTACACTTATTTCAACTCTTCGACATTCCCATATTATGCATTGAGATATTGCTTTTGCTAATTCGAATTGAATGGGGATATATCAATTAATATTACACATAAGAAATCAATTATGAACACTAATATAACTAGTGTTGAGAGTAAATCTCATATTGATGAGATGAGAGATATTTACAGTACTAAAGTTGAATGAGTGATAAATAATCAAGCCCTTTTTATGATTGGAGTTCTTCCACTCGTAGTCCTCCAAGATTGATGTGGAGTGTATGCAGTTGCATTCAAACCTGTGTTTATTACGGCTGGCTTGGGATTACAGTGCTTTTAAAAAAAAAAACAACTTAATAAAAAATCTGGAATATTAAATGTGTTTGATAAAACAATTTTTTTTAAACTGATGTCAATAATGGTAGAAAAACATAAAAAACCAGAAGTATGTTCTAGCATACTTCTAAAACAAGTGTTTTTTTATTTTAAAAAAAAACATAGTAATCAGTGCCTATTTAATGAAATTTTCAAATGACAAGTACAACCTCACATATTTTACAAAATTATATCATTGTGCTTACATTATTTTCTTTGAAATTATTATATCACATTAAATATCATATTCTTTTTAGTCATTGAACATATTTAAAGCAATTTATATTGTCACATCTCAGTCAGCATGGTAAAATATTATCCGTTTTGGGCCACATCCTTACGGATTTGTTATTGAGTTTCCACCCAAAACGCGTCTCACTATAGGGAGGTGGACATATACATATAAGGCACATCACATCCTCCCCCCAGGCGATGTGGGATCTTACAATCCATCCCCTTAGGGACCCGACGTCCTTGTCGGCACACTTCCAGTAGGGGAGTGGCTCTGATACCAAATTGTCACATCTCAATTTCGTCGTAGCACGATATTGTTAGCTTTGGACCACACCCTCACGAATTTATTCGTGAGCAAGAGAACCTCACTGCTAAGAAGAGGAGCATATACATATAAGGCCAGGGACTAACCTCCACCCCACCGATATGGGATACTACATATATAAAAGTTTATCAAACGTTCATACACTATTTTTTTGTTAAAAGAACTTTTAGATAAAAAAAAGTTTATCAAATACTAAACAATTTTATTTTATAACCGTTTATCTCATGCACAGAAAAAGTAATTTAAAAAAAAAACACAGTAATTACGAAGAATAAATGAGTATGGAGCCCGGGTGGTGGTAGAGTGGCCCTAGTGGGTGTGGGTGTGGCCGACCGGACAAACACAGTTTATTTCTTTCTTTCTTTTTTAATTTTTATGGAACAATTTATTTCATTTTTATTTATATAATTTCAACACTGAATATATTTTCCTTGCGACTTGAGATCACAAAGTGGCAGCAGTTGAAGTGTAAGAAAGGAAGAAAGAAGCTGAATTTTCTCATCACAAATTACAATGCGAAGGTAAATCCCAACTAATTCCTTCCATTCCCTCACTCCGATTCTCTAGTTTCCCGCTAACCAAACACAAAGTAATCCCATTTTTTCCGTTGATTTGATGCAGACCGGGGCGGCAGCACTCGAAGCAAGCTGCCGGAGGAGGAGGAGGGGTGATGAAGGGCACGCTTGGGAGGTTATTGATCGGCGTCGTGGTTCTCCTGATCTGCACCGTTTCGTTTCTGGTTATGACCACGACCAGCGGCGGCGGCGGTGGTGGTGGATCTGGATTTGGCTCCGAGGTTAGTTGGAAGCTGAGCTTTCGGATTTACTCCGTTGAATTTTAGCTTTGGAAGAAGTCTAGTCTGTTTGGTTGATGAGAAATTTTTTTTAGTTGTTTTTCCGAATTCGATGGTTTTATTATTACTGTGAGTAGAGTTTGGTATGTTAGTTTAGGCATTTTGTTTTCGGTTTGATTTCCGGAGTTAGTTATAACGATGAAGAAGTGCTTTTTTTTTCGAATGACGGCTCGAGCTTTAACTTGAAAAGGACGATGGTTTACTTAAATTATGATTATTTGTATGCAAATGTCACTGATGCCTGGAAATTATGAGAATTAGGAGCTCTATGTGAATAAATCAGTGTATTTGGGAGTGGTTTGTTGGTATGTTATCGTGTTGAGGCAGTGATTTGATTGTTAATTTAGATTTTTAGGTGCATTCAAATGACCGCCGGAAGCTAAATTCTGCCGCTTTGTTTTGCCACCTATGTGCCGAGATTATCTTTGTTATGGATGAGATTGTTGGAAATTAATGATCTATAATATTTTTTCCGTTCTTTCTAATCAATGACAAAGATAATTAGGATGATGATCCAGTATCTTCTAACTTGTTGATCAAGATGATTGGTTTATGTAATTAAATTATGTAAAAAATGAAGCAATCAAGCGTAAGTACTCAGGTCATATCCAATTTTACGTTATCTAAAACTATGAAAAAATTAGGCCTCACAAAGTACCTTTCTGAGATGCATTTGATTATATTAATTCGACATCTCAATGTTACTAAGAGTTTTTATTGCGTATTTTGTGGTGGCCCCTATGTTGAAGTTTTAATGTTTGCAAGCTTATACATTGTTCATGTATGTGTGCGATAGGGTTAACAAAGGTGGGATATCATTTTTAGTTTGTCACCTTAAATCACACGTCTCCTTTCGTCTTCAAAACACTCTTGAGAAGTTAAGAGGTTCTGTTTGTTCGAGGAAGATAAGAATTACTGTGACCTTTGGAACTGATTGTTATTATATGCTGAAAATTCGACTCATAGTTATCTTGCCATGTTTGTGCAGATTAACTTGGATAAACTTTGGAGAAGTGCTGATTCTGGTGGTTGGAGACCATCATCAGCTCCACGATCTGATTGGCCCCGTATGTCTTTCCTTTTTTTTTCCCCCCAATGAATGGTTTCAATAAGTTTGTTTTAAAATTGTTCTGATGCTTCTACTGTGGCAGCTCCACCAAGTGAGACTAATGGCTACCTACGCGTGCGCTGTAATGGCGGTCTCAATCAACAACGTACAGCGGTTCGTATCTTTTTCTGTTTTCTATGGTCTGTAATTACATATTTTCACTCATGTATCTGACGAGGGAAATATTTGCCTTCTATTACTCCCTTGGATGTTTTAGATATGCAATGCTGTTCTCGCAGCAAGAATCATGAATGCTACACTTGTGCTGCCAGAACTGGATGCAAACTCTTTTTGGCATGATGACAGGTATCTATTTCAATGGTTCTTTGATCCTTAATTCACATAGGCAGATTTGGTTTCTTGGTGTATTCAAAATTTGCATTTTATAGACTTATAAACTTTATTTTCTGACTGAGGCTATTAAGTATTAACCAAGAGAGATGAGGTAGATAAAATTGTGACAAAAACGCAGATACATAGGAGACGTGTCACATATAATTAGTCAATTCTGTGAATAAAAAGACATTTCAATGACTGGTCTATTGCTTTGTTGAATGGAAAGAGAAAGCTTCAAGATATCTGCATGAATGGATTTTCTTGCAAAACCATTAGCATCTTTTTGCATAGTTTCATATGAATATCTCCCTTCCTACTTTATGGTAACGACATAAATCTTATATTTTCTTGGAAAAGCAAAGGAATTCGTTCTGACGAACTGTGAGTAATGTGTCTTATGCACTTTCATTGTCAATTGTATGCTGGTTTCTGTTAAGTCTATAAATTGTTATGTAACATGTGCAGTGGTTTCGGCGGTATCTATGATGTTGAGCATTTTATCCAGTCATTGAGGTATGATGTAAAAATAGTACAAAAAATACCAGAAATTCGCAAAAATGGGAAGACCAAGAAGATAAAAGCTGTACAGGTAAATCATCTGTATTTTTTATCATCAAATTCAAAATCAGAAATCTATTTGAATTCTTCAATAGGTTTGAAATGTTAACTCCCTCTTCCTCTAAACCTTGTCTCAGCTTCGTCCCCCTCGAGATGCTCCTATCAGTTGGTATACTACAGATGCACTTGCGAAAATGAAGGAGCATGGTGCTATTTATCTTACTCCCTTTTCACATCGCTTGGCAGAAGAAATTGACAACCCTGAGTATCAACGGTTAAGGTGCAGGGTTAACTATCATGCTCTGAGGTTCAAGACAAATATAATGAAGATAAGTCAATCAATAGTAGATAAGCTTCGCTCACGAGGTCACTTCATGTCCATACATCTTCGTTTTGAGATGGATATGCTGGCATTTGCTGGGTACATTCTTATCTGATTATCTTGTTATGCTCAAGTTTGCATCTACATGGGGTTGGAGGGTCGGATCTTACATTAATTGTTGACTTCGTTGCATATGGTATAAGACAAGAATGTAATAGGAGCGGAAAAAAAAACCCAAAGCAAACCACATGCATAATTACATGTAGAAATATGTTTGTGTACTGTACGCACACGTTGAGTTAAACTTTTCAAAGATTTGATGGTACAACAACAACAACAAAGCCTTTTCCCACTAAGTGGGGTCGGCTATATGAATCCTAGAACGCCATTGCGCTCAGTTTTGTGTCATGTCCTCCGTTCGATCCAAGTACTCTAAGTCTTTTCTTAGAGTCTCTTCTAAAGTTTTCCTAGGTCTTCCTCTACCCCTTCGGCCCTGAACCTCTGTCCCGTAGTCACATCTTCGAACCGGAGCGTCAGTCGGCCTTCTTTGCCCATGTCCAAATCACCGGAACCGATTTTCTCTCATCTTTCCTTCAATTTCGGCTACTCCTACTTTACCTCGGATATCCTCATGCCCAATCTTATCCTTTCTCGTGTGCCCACACATCCCACGAAGCATCCTCATCTCCGCTACACCCATTTTGTGTACGTGTTGATGCTTCACCGTCCAACATTCTGTGCCATACAACATCGTTGGCCTTATTGTCGTCCTATAAAATTTTCCCTTGAGCTTCAGTGGCCTACGACGGTCACATAACACGCCGGATGCACTCTTACACTTCATCCGTCCAGGTCGTATTCTATGGTTGAGATCTCCATCTAATTCTCCGTTCTCTTGCAAGATAGATCCTAGGCAGCAAAAACGGTCGCTTTTTGTGATCTTCGCTAGATTGCTCCGGTCATTAGTGTGGATAAGTATATAAATGAATAGAGATAGGAGAGCAAACACAAGATGTACGTGGTTCACCCAGATTGGCTACGTCCACGGAATAGAAGAGTTCTCATTAATTGTGAAGGGTTTACACAAGTACATAGGTTCAAGCTCTCCTTTAGTGAGTACAAGTGAATGATTTAGTACAAATGACATTAAGAAATATTGTGAGAGAATGATCTCGTAATCACGAAACTTCTAAGTATCGGAGTGTGGTATCGTCTTGACTTGCCTTATCTGTCTCATAGGTAGATGTGGCATCTTCTCTGGAAGTACTCTTCCTCCATCCAGGGGTGGTATCTTTAACTGGTGGAGATGCACAAGGTAATGTATCAATTTCACTTGAAGCTTACTTGTAGTTTCAGGCTTGGTCAAGCGCGATACAAACCATGTAGTAGGAGTCTCCCAAGTCGCCGAGCTAGGGGATCTGCTGAAAGAGGTGACAGACAAGGTAAGCAATCAGAGCTCCGGCTGATTGTTCACCTTCTCCCCATCTTGCAGCAGCATGAAGGATAAAGAGAAGAAAGATGAGAAGAGATGATATGGGATACTTTTGCTTTTGAAGAAGTAACTTTCCACAGGCTTATTCTTGAACTGAGCTGGAGGGTTTTCTGGTTTCCTCCAGAGCCGACTGAAGAATTTGAGGGTCAAAACAAGTCCATCAAATCTAGAGTACGTTCGACCCTGCTGATATGGGAAACTTTTGCTTTTGACAGAGTAATGGATGTATCGGCACGTGTGCTGTTACGCTTGTCTCCACATGCTTCCTTGTATCCTTCGCAATTGCCCTATCTGTTCCTCAAGCAGATGCGGTATCTTCCCTGGAAACATAAGATGTTGAAGATGAGTACTCGAGAGCAATGCCAGGTAAGTAATCACGTAAGGGGTTCCAGGCAGTCAGTTCCTGGCTGGAAGCTTGATTCCAAGTGCTGACTGATTGCTCTCTTTCTCCTTGTCTTGCAGGTAACAACAAGGCCAAAGGAAAAAGACAGGGAAAAAGCATGATATGGGATACTCTTGCTTTTAACCCTGATGATATGAGATATTCTTGCTCTAGTATAGCTTGTTTGCAAAGGTATTATCGGGGGGAAAGAAAGCTGAATATTTCGAAAGGCTTCGTTGGGAGTGCCCTCTCAAATATGAGGAAGGGTTGAACATTTTTGCAGGTCTGCCTGTCCGTTGGGGATGGAGGTCGACATATATAGGAGTCTCCCTAACAACAAGTAGTAATGCTATTCCTTTACCCTGCTTAGTCATAGCACGGTAGTGGGAGCTGCCAGCTTCACATGTTTTAACTCTGTCAGAGCACTTTGAAAAAGTGGTCTGTGCTCTCGAGAAGTCTTCGACAGAATGCCCATAATTTCCGCAAAGCTGAGTGTGCGTGTGACAGGTGCTGACAAGGCTAGAAAAGTAGGTGCCTCTTCGATTTCTGAGATCGGCCCTCGTGGTCTCTGAGCAGCCCAGCTTTTGAGAAAGCGAGCGTCTCTTCGATTGATTCGGAGAACGATGCATCTTCGATTTTTAAGAAAGCAATCATGATGGGGGTCTGGCTCTCGAGATTCGGAGAGCAGTGTCACTTCGATTTTTGAGAAAGTAATCATGTTGGGAGTCTGGCTCTCGAGATTCGGAGGGCGGTGCCTCTTCGATTTTGGAGCAAGCAATCTTGTTGGGAGTGTTTTCTCGAATGTGAGTAAAAGATTGGGCATGTTTGCTAGTCTACCTTGCCACGAAGCACAGAGGTTGACACACACAGGGATTTTCCAATTATCCAGCAATGGTACTGTTCCTTTACCCTCTCTTCGATTTTTGAGAAAGTAGTCATGTTGGGAGTCTGGCTCTCGAGATTCGGAGGACGGTGCCTCTTCGATTTTGGAGCAAGCAATCTTATTGGTAGTGTTTTCTCGAGTGTGAGTAAAGGTTGGGCATGTTTGCTAGTCTACCTTGCCACGAAGCACAGAGGTTGACACACACAGGGACTTTCCAATTATCCAGCAGTGGTACTGTTCCTTTTACCCTTGTGGGTAATAATATGGTAGCTAGACCTTCAAAATTTATGGGTCTAAACTTTGTTAGTGCTGTTTCTTTGCTATTCTTTTACCTTTCTTGGTCAGAGCGATGTAGTGGGAGCTGCAAGCTTTACGTGCTCAATTTTGGCAGAGAACTTTGGCAAAGTTATCTGTGGTACCCATGAGCTAGTGTTGCGTGTGGGAAGTGGGTGATTGAACAGTAAGATTCATGTGTTTTCTACTTCCTCAGAAGTCTTCGACAGAATGCCCATAATTTCCGCAAAGCTGAGTGTGCGTGTGACAGGTGCTGACAAGGCTGGAAAAGTAGGTGCCTCTTCGATTTCTGAGATCGGCCTTCGTGGTCTCTGAGGAGCCCAGCTTTTGAGAAAGCGAGCGCCTCTTCGATTTCTGAGATCGGCCTTCGTGGTCTTTGAGCAGCCTAACTTTTGAGAAAGCAAACGCCTCTTCGATTTCTGAGATCAACCCTCGTGGTCTCTAAGCAGCCCAGCTTTTGAGAAAGCAAACGCCTCTTCGATTTCTGAGCAGGCGCCTCTTCGATTTCTGAAGATCCGTCGAGTGCAGATTTTTATAGGGGCTGGCATTAAGTTCCAAAGCACACTTGAATCTCCACCAGTAGAAGCTCCATTCTTGCACTTCTAAGATCTTGATTTGTCCAACCTCTTCTCTCTTCAACACCTTTGAAAATGTCTGGCCCCTCCGACCGTCGTTTTGACTTGAACCTTGTTGAAGAGGCAACCCCGCCTTCTCCAGACAACATATGGCGCCCATCCTTCGTCTCCCCTACTGGTCCTCTTACCGTTGGGGATTCCGTGATGAAGAATGATATATGACTGCTGCGCGGTGGTGGCCAGGAACCTTCTCACTCCCAAAGATAACAGACTACTTTCCAAACGGTCTGATGAGTTAGCTGTTAAGGATTCGCTGGCTCTCAGTGTTCAGTGTGCAGGTTCTGTGTCTAATATGGCCCAACGCCTATTTGCTCGAACCCGCCAAGTTGAATCATTGGCGGCTGAGGTGATGAGTCTCAAACAGGAGATTAGAGGGCTCAAGCATGAGAATAAACAGTTGCAGCACCGGCTCGCACATGACTATGCTACAAACATGAAGAGGAAGCTTGACCAGATGAAGGAAACTGATGGTCAGGTTTTACTTGATCATCAGAGATTTGTGGGTTTGTTCCAAAGGCATTTATTGCCTTCGTCTTCTGGGGCTGTACCGCGTAATGAAGCTCCAAATAATCAACCTCTGATGCCTCCTCCTTCTAGGGCTCTGTCCAGTACTGAGGTTCCGAATGATCCCCCTCCGGTGCCTTCTCTTTCTGGGGCTCTACCGACTGCTGAGACTTCTCCTAAGCAACCCTTGTGAAGGCTCCCTCTTGTTTGTTTATTTTGACTCATGTATATGTACACATTTGTAGCTTATCGGGGATATCAATAAATAAGTTTTCCTTCATTTCAACGTATTGTGTTAAATACACCAAAACCTTCTTCGCTAAGTTCTTTGAATTTTCTTTTGTTGAAGCTTGTATGTTGAAGCTTTCTGAGTGGAGCATGTAGGTTGGGGTAGTGTTCCCTTAATTTCCCGAGTGAGGAAAACTTCTCGATTGGAGACTTGGAAAATCCAAGTCACTGAGTGGGATCGGCTATATGAATCTTAGAACGCCATTGTGCTCGGTCCTGTGTCATGTCCTTCGTTAGATCCAAGTACTCTAAGTCTTTTCTTAGAGTCTCTTCCAAAGTTTTCCTAGGTCTTCCTCTACCCCTTCGGCCCTGAACCTCTGTCCCATAGTCGCATCTTCTAATCGGAGCGTCAGTAGGCCTTCGTTGCACATGTCCAAACCACCGTAACCGATTTTCTCTCATCTTGCCTTCAATTTCGGCTACTCCTACTTTACCCCGGATATCCTCATTCTTAATCTTATCATTTCTCGTGTGCCCACACATCCAACGAAGCATCCTCATCTCCGCTACACCCATTTTGTGTACGTGTTGATGCTTCACCGCCCAACATTCTGTGCCATACAACATCGCTGGCCTTATTGCCGTCCTATAAAATTTTCCCTTGAGCTTCAGTGGCCTACGACGGTCACACAACACGCCGGATGCACTCTTACACTTCATCCATCCAGCTCGTGAGTTTAGATTTTGAAAAAGAATGTTATCTGGGGCCTTAACATCTGGTATGATTATTCTCCAGCTGCTTTGATATTTTCAACCCCAAAGAGCAAGAGATATTGAAGAAGTATCGAAAAGAAAATTTTGCGCCAAAGAAGCTCGTCTACGAGGAAAGAAGAGCCATTGGAAAGTGCCCATTAACTCCTGAAGAGGTAATATTATCTTTCTTGTTAATGCTATACATTCTGCAGTATATGGAGCCCATCAATATTAAGATCATAACATTAACCTGGATGGCTGTTATCTTGCATCGGTTTCTTATGTTTGTCTTATCATTTTGAGATAACAGGATGCAGATGACATTTTCTATATAAAATACTAACAAAATTGTCACCCCATTTGTATGCAGGTTGGCCTTATTTTGCGTGCAATGAGGTTTAACAATTCCACCAGGATATACCTAGCTGCTGGTGAACTATTTGGCGGGGAGAGATTCATGAAACCGTTTCGGGCTTTGTTCACTCACCTTGAGACCCACAGTTCTGTGGATCCCACAGACGAGCTATCAGAAAACACCCAGGGATTGTTAGGGTCTGCAGTGGACTACATGGTTTGTCTCCTCTCTGATATTTTTATGCCTACATATGACGGCCCTAGCAACTTTGCCAACAATCTCCTTGGACACCGCCTCTATTATGGCTTCCGGACCACACTTAGACCCGACAGGAAAGCTCTTGCTCCAGTCTTCATTGATCGAGAGAAGGGACGGACAGCTGGTTTTGAAGAAGCCGTAAGGAAAGCCATGCTCAAGACTAACCTTGGCGGGCCCCACAAGCGGATCCCCCCTGAGTCTTTCTATACAAATTCTTGGCCGGAATGTTTCTGCCAAACATCTCCCAAGAATCCAGAAGATAAATGTCCACCGGATAATGTTTTGGAAATTCTGGAGGGCCAGTTGAGTGAAGCAGCGGATGGCCGGGAATCAAATTCAACAATATCTGTAGCCGAAAGATGAGAAAGTAGTTGCAGGACCTTTAGCGGATGCTTGTGCCACCACCATATCGTTGAATACCTTTCTGCCTAATTGACAAGGTATATGGGGTCTCTCTAATCATACTCTGCCTTTCAGGTGATCATTACATCCCCATAATTTCATTCTGTTTAAATATTTTCTTCAAAGAAATTGCCTTTCTTGTCCTCTTGCACAAACATTTCCACATTTTGCTCGTCATTTGGATATTTTTGAATATTTCGTGCTCCTGTTGATTATATAAGTTGATGGTTTTTCGGCGGTCTGATTTGAGACCGGTTCCATGTTGGTGATCGGTGGCAGGTTCATGTTCTATGAGTCTCCGACCATTGTGATTTAGTATTTCGACAAAGAAGACGGCAAGTTGGCACTGATACTACGGCTGTATGACACACGAGACACGGTGATAGTTACAAATTTGTTATGCTGTGATCTGAACATATATATACTTGTGATCTACTGTATGATATTGAATCGACTTCCTTTGTATGATTCTGCCTTGTACGGCCATAGTGACAGTCTGACAATTTTTCGAGTCTTGCCTTAACAAAATAAACGATTACCATAAAATTACTTGTTATGCTCCTTGCTCATTCTGGAGATGGCTCCCACGGTGGGAGGAGTCGTGAGCATCAACGAATGCTTGGACGGAACAAAGGCTCTACGTGGAGGCATCTCTAGAACCTTAGTTGTTACTGAGAGCCTCACCCTGCCATCCTTATGGGTTCGGTGTTTTATGGGCGCTCGTGAAGGGTCGATTCACCTTTACTAGGCTATATCCATGTACAGAGTCGATTCACCTTTACATGTCAAATATTTGTGCGTACTTGCTTTTTATTATGCACTTGTCAAACTGTGATTTGCAACTTTGGTATACAAGTTCGCTGTGTTAGGGTTAATCATGTAAAGTAGATGATGATAACAGTTGGGAGGCAAGGAGCGCTTCCGATCGTGTTGCTGCTTACTGTCGTTTTTCAATATTTCTTAGTGACTTGGATGGCTGAACTTTCATTTGGTTTGGAGTCAATTGGGTTGGTGGGTTTTTTTGTGTGTTTTTTGGGGGGGAGGAAATTTTAGAAGAAAAAAACTCATTTTTCGAAAGGAAAACTAATAAAAAAAACTTGAAAACGTTGAATTTTAACGATAAAGACAAAATAAAGAGTAAAATAAATAATATCAGATTTGACTTTTTAGTGTAAAAATGTGATTTTTTTTGTTAAAATAAACAGTACCGGAAGCTTTTCGTTAAAGTTTAATTTTTCAAACCCAAGAAGGCTTTTACCCCTCTTTTCAATATGCTTAGAATTTTGCCCTCTTTACGTGTTAAAATGACTTAATTGACCCTGTAGTTCTAATTACATTCAGACCTTTAGCCTCATTTCCATGCTCAAGGCCCCCATTGAGAACAACTCGAGCATCCCTCGAGAACTGCTCGATCCCATCTCGAGTGCTTGTCGAGCTATCTCATCGTAAGTGTTGTATTCACTTGCTGTCATATTACTCGGGGTGTCATAGTAGGCTTCAATTGTTCGCAAGGAGGGATTGAGTCGTTCTCGAAAGGGTCTCGAGCAATAAGAACTAGACAGAGTTTCAATGCAATCAAAATTATAGGTCAGTCAAAGTCTTCATACATAAAAGATCCCCTCTAACCTATGGGGCGCATGGCCTATGTGTTTTTACCCCTTGATCATTACTAGCATGCTTTTTCTGTCCAAATATTGATACAAGAACAAACAGATAAAATAATCGCAAACCATTCGACAATCCACCAAATCGACTCGTATGACTAGTGTCACAGGTAGACAATTTTACCCTTCTAGAATTGGTGGAAAAAACGAAACAAGTCTATCCAGACTATTCAACCAAATTAATTGAAGGCAACCATTTGATACTAAGAGCATATACATCCCGTCATTTACAAAACATGGACATTTGAAACACAAAATGATGGAAGAGAACAAGAAAAAGGAGCAAGTGTAAAGATAAATTAGCCTGAGGATTGTACCCGCAACTTGTTGGCAACGTAGAGCAGATGGCTAATGTTGGTCGGAGGATAGCTCTGCAGTAGTTTGAGATTTGAGGTAAAATCACCTGCTAGTAAGCGCCTCCGAATGAGAATCAACATTGCACAGCATACTCGAAGAAGGGTTTCCTACAATTTGTCAGTTAGCTTCGTTGTTAGCATACAAACAAACAAAAGGGAAAAAAAAACAAAACCGAAAGCAAACTCCTAAGGGTGGAGCACCACTTATAGTTTGCATCTTGGGACCTCAACCCTAGTCAAGTTTGCTAGCTCAACTGATTTGCATATTATTGACTATCTAAGGGTGGTGAATAACACCCTGAAAACAAAAGAAGAAAGGGAAGAGAAAGTAATAAAAATACTACCTGAGGACCTTCGGGGTCACTTAAAAGTGTATCCCAAATGTGAAGGCTGTCTGCGAAATTGAATTCCTGCGTTAGAAGGAGGGTGATCCATCTAAATGCATAAAATTGGGGATTGACCTGTCATTTTAAATTAAAACCCAGTCAGTACTAAGCAAGTATTTTAGTGAACTAAATATGACATTCTTGAGTAACCATGAAGACCTTGACGTGATGAATAATAAGGCTGTCAACAGGAGACAAAAATAATAATTCTCTCAGCCATCTACGAAAAATCATTGAGTCTGATCACATCTCTAAGGCAGGCACCGGATAACCTTGAACCAGGAACTAAAAGGAATCTAGTAACATCATTTCAAGGTAACATTTATTTGGAGGCATCAGAGAGCTCCCAAAAAAGAATACAGCTAATAGTAAAAAATTGTGGTCCAAAAGACAGGAAGAACTCAAATATTTTTTAGTGAAAGTACAGATTGTGAACCAATATCAAAGCATGCAGACATTTTTCAAATGTGTTCCAGCTGTTTGCAGGTTCGATGCACAAAAATCAGTAAACTAGAAGGTACCCCATGTGTGCCACACTCAACCATTAGCCACCCATTGTTATTTAAAGAGAAATATATTTAAAGATAGAGAACTCAGATTGGAAAATAACATATAGATGCATAAAATATCTTACTTTGGTTGTGATCTCGAGATGACGCCATAGCTCTTCATCATGTTCCTTTAAAAGCTGTGACAATCTTGTTATCGTGGAACGAATTCCAACAACACTATTATCGAGTTGCTGACAGAAATGGTCGCGGAAGCCACTCAATAATTCAACAAAACAAAAAAAGGTGTCTGCTTCAGCAAAGGCCTACAAAACTTGACATTTGGAAACAATGAGAAAAAGTGACCAAGAATGATAAATAGAATGACAGTGAAAAAGTGTTATTGCATGAAAGCATAATGACAATAAACTGATGTACATCATTGTATCCATCCCTTGTCCACGCATTAGCACAATTTATTGTTCATAGCCACACTTATCAGTCGCTCATCATTTTCTTTTGTTAATGAGAAATCATAGGCAATGCTGAATAGTTTTCATGACAAATTGCTCTAAATTGCCCCTCCTTTTTGTGCATGTTATGATTAAAACCTCTTTTGTCATAATTAAGCGTACAAGTCCGGAAAAGTATAACCATTTAGAGATATTGAACAGAAGAACATGCACTTCAAAGTAAATGAAGGACAATCAGAAGTTCAACATCAGCTCTCAACAGTGATTACCTAAATTTTAAACTCACATTCATATGAACACTTATAAGAACTGCTATGGGCTGAATTCTAACATACAAAAGTACACTAACATAGAAAAAAATATATGGCACTCTTACCGCATCTTCCTCATTGGGATCATTTTTTAAGACATAGAACAGTGGTGCCAAGATTTCGTTCATCCCTTGAACATATCTTATACCCGGATTTAGCTTGGCAAATATAACCAGGATGTCCTTCAAAGCATCCTGAAATTGTTATATAGAACTAAGTTAGCCAAATGGGTTGTAACTTGCATTTGATGAATCTTATAACCGTCTGTACTGTAGTCTGAACTGTACATCAAGCACAAACCTGATTAGATTTAGCATCTTGAGAGTCCCCTGAGAAAAAATGCATGTCTGGATGAGTACGCTTTACATCTCGGTCGATTTGTTCTATGATCTCTGTGTCCTACATGATCCAAAATTGGAGTTGCATATCTCAAAAGGAGGTCATGCACCACAAACTGTTACCACCATTCTATAACGGTAAAACATGACAATGAACCAAGATTTACACAGAAGGTTGAATTATTAACTACATCATAAATATGGTCGGAATAAGCTACATTCTTCACTTTTAACTGAATCACATCACAATTTACTTGAAAACACCGGGTTTCTTCATCAGTTCTCCCCAAATACTATCGGTTTGTTTGTACCATGACTTTCTAAGTCTGTAAAACACGTTTGTTGGTTTCTGAAACTATTTTAGAGTTGCCTTATAAAAAAATTATTTTTCATTGTGCAGATGATGGAATGGAAGAAAGTTGGCTCATTAATCAATTGAGCAAGTAAGTTCACTAGCTTCTTACCTGAAAGAACTGATTCCAGACGCTGGACTTCCCAAGACTCAATGGATGCTCCCCATGAGGTATTTCTGATCTTGATAGCAACCCCTTGCTTTGACATTTTAATTCATCCTTGTCACAAGTAGCACCATTATCCATCTTCCTCGTGATTTCTGACTGACTAGCCAAAGGAAACATTCAGAAAGCCAGATTTTCACAGAATTTTAAAAAGGAAAAATGTATGAATCACATAGCATACTTTGACCTTTTATTTTTTGTTCTATCATACCTAATCATTAAAATCCCAAAAAGCTGGCTAAGCCTAAGCTATGAACCAAGAAATATGTAATATACAACACTACAAGGAGAAATAATGATAACTGAATTGCCAAATTGGAATGTTTGCAGTAAAACCTGTGGGTTACCCTCCTCTCAAATTCAGAAATAAATTAATGACATATGCTTTCCTAGACAAAATTGTCCAGGAACAACTCTTTGCACTATTAGCATTACCAGTTGATGCTTCAATAGTATTAGTATCATTTTTTTTTTAAATATTCGTCAGCATCTCAATGGATTTGAACAGCTGATGCTCCAAATCAAAGCAAACTCTATTCTTCTTAACCCTATGTCATTAATCTAGTTTTTCAGTTTGATCTTCAAAACCCAAACATGAACATAAAAATGCAGAGAGAAAACAATAAACATGACTTACAGGATTCATCAAAAGCTCATCTTTAAAATGCTTGTACTGTGACCTCTTTTTAGCTAACTCAGTCGACCAAAGCCCCCGATCTGGTGGTAGATATCCAAGTAAAAGCTGCAAGCAACAATTATGAACCATTAAACTAATCCAGTTCCTTGGCTGCATCATGGGAAATCAGAATTGCACACTTGTTTCACTATGTCATGCTCTATCGGCTAGACGGGTAACTCTCAAGTCCTCAAGCATCATTCTATCCACAATAAAGCTAAATCTTCACCAGAAATTGCCAGCATTTTCTCTAGAAACAAACACCTCCTAACACTAAATGGAATAAAAAATAATAAATAAATAAAAAAATCATTATCACCTTCCAGACAGTGGACC